TTAATAACCTCAACATGTCCTCACCAACTATTAAATCCCTACCCCCCCACCACCGTTGCATATCCTTACGTACTCGCACAATTCCACCTCCCCTCCCGCCCCCCTCCCTTATATAACTTCGTTTTAGGTACACGCTCATCATCCTTTTTTCCAGAGTAAAAGTCCCAGCCCCCCCTCGACTGACTGGAAGTGTTAACACCCGCTCTACTTAACCATTCGCAGCCCGATCCCCATAAAAAACCTAAAAACCCCATGTTGTAAACGTTTCAACCTCATGTCTCATCAGCGGGTACATGACAACAACAGGGCCATATCTTGCTGTACAATAGCACGTTCGTCACTATTACCTTTAAATGCAGCATTAGTTGTGCCGCCCTCAAACCCACCAAGTCTTTTCAATACTCCATCCACTATTCTCACCGAATTCACCTCTTGAGCCCCCCGTGTATTTCGCACATAAATTATCCCAAAATATCATTAGTTAATCCACCACCTTCCACCCACCCCTACCACCTCATCCCCATTTGTACTATCCCTTAGGTCTAGAAACTTAGTCTTCTCAACATTAATTTTCATACCTGAAGCCTCCCCAAACACATCCACCACTTTACCCACCCTAAGCAAATCCCCATTACCTCTCACCCCAAAACAGTATTTTCATCCACATAACCTACGATACCAGCCCCCCCCCCCCCCGGCAGTACCCTCCCCACCTCCCACAACACACCTCCGAATGGCCCTATAAAAAGGATCCGTATAACACGCAAACAATATTTGTTTAAATTTTGGGGAGCCTTGGCGCAGTCCCCGTCGCATCTGTTATTTTAACTCCTAGCCTCCCGTTAACCTGCACCCTCATCCCACGCCCCCCTGATACAATAATTTTGCCCAAGATATTATTTCTTCCCCAAAAACCTTGCCAACGCATGAACCTCCATAACGCTTCCCTTTCTACACTATCATAAGCAGCCTTCCTTCTAACGCCAATACACCTCCATCACCCAACTCCCCCCGTTTTCTCTATTTAAAATTCTCGAATCATGCCATGCCCTTCATACATCGACCTTCCTGGCACCCCATATTGCCCCCTATCAATTACCTTGCCTATTACCCTCTTGATTCTGTTTCCCTAATATTCTCGCAAACAACTTAAATCTCCACACATAAGCGAAAGTGCCCGATAATCCTTTTCCGTTGACTGCCCCCCTTTCGGTACCAACACCACAACGGCCGTCCGTTGCTGCTCTCCCATTTCCTCAGCCGCCTTAAGATGTTAAACAGCCTTACTAAAAAAAACCTCAGAACCCCCCAATTCTTTACATAGAAATCATTTTGGGAGTCCGTCTATACCCGTGCCTTTCCCAAGCTCACTCCCTGACAATGCCTGCCAAATCCACACTCCGTAATCGGCCCACCTAATGTCACCCGATCTTTACCATCAAGCCACACTGCACATACTTCCCCCCATTTCCCTCATGCCACCTCACGGAAGCTCACGCTTTGCGTATATGACTTAAACCAAGCGTCTACATATCCACTCATACCCTCTGTCGTTACCAATGCTTGACCCACTCTATACCCTTCCATCCCTACATGTACGTTAACCTCATCATCTCCATCGTCACTCTCCTTTTTCTCTGGCCCTTAACACGCAAGCCGACGGCCGATCACCCCATAGCACTTCTTTCAATCCTCCCATAAAATTTTTACACCATCAAAACGCTCGTTTTGCAATACCCTAATACTCTCCTTTAAACCCTCAATGTCCTGCACTGGATAGCTTGCTCCTCCTCTTGCATAACATCAAAGCACTGCCCTTCAAGATAAACTTTGAAACCCATACTTTAACCGATTATCTTCCCTCCCACGACAAATATAATTTCTCTGATACGATTTTTAGCCACCGAATCCCACCAATTTACCAGTTCATCATCCCCCGGCGCCTCATCCACCAACCGTTCCCACAATTGCACAAAAGACTGAAAGACATTCCTCACCCTGCAAAAGCTTCACATTTAACTTCCAAAAAACTTGACCCCTTCTAGGGAATCCCCCCATTTTAGGTCCACCATTACTCCTCTGTGATTTCCCAAAAAACCGCGTCTACCACACGCACTCTGCTCACTATTACTGTTCGGGGCACATACAATCGATCCAGTCTTGCCCCATATCCATGTCTAACAAAAGTATGTTCAAAAAACCCCACCCCCCTCCAACGTCCATTAACCCCACTCCATTTAATAATTCCCCCAAAATCCCCAAACAATACCCTGCCCCTCTAGGTTCCACATCCTTACGCCTTATCACACAATTCCAATCACCACCAATTACAGCTACACCCGGCAAAGCACGCAATAATATACTAGGACATCCTTCACAAATTTATTCTTAATACGCACATCCCCTCTGCCCGACCATACACACACACCAAACTCATCTGTACCCTACCCCACCAACCCCTCTACACGAATCACCCCCCCCCTCCCCACCCTCACAATGCCTCACTACAACGGGTTAGTTTCCATTACCAGGATGGCAACTCCTCCTGTCAACCTTATCGCATGCTCACATACACAATTATACCCATTCACCTTCAACTCATAACCTGGTCTGTAGTTTGTGTTCCTGCACGAACACCACATCAACACTATTACGCACCAAATATTCATAAACCATACACACTTTCTCTCTGATCTCAATCCATTAATGTTCAATGTCATGCACTTGAAGCTTACAGAGTGGTTTTCCTTCTTGACCCTGGTACTATCTTGCCACCAGATCGTTTCGTGACACCTCGGTCCCTCTCCCCCCTTTAGAAACGCTCTTAAACAACTCCTGCCCCTAGGGGCCCCTGTGTCCTCTCTGCGTAACTTCCGCCCAGGACTTTTGCCAGTGCGCTGAGCAGGCGTGATCACGTCCTCGGAGTCAGATAGCGCAGCAGCGTGCTCCCGTGATGCTCCCTCTGCTTGCATCATGTCGTCTGATACATTGTCCCGGTGGACTTCCACCTCCACCGCTTGCATCAAAATATTCTTATCACACTGTGCAGACCGCAGATCCTGTTCCCACGCCCTGATCCACAACAGACCCAAGAACTAGGTCCCGGACTCCCAACCTTCCCAATACTCTTGTCAGCCAATAACACATTTAAAGCCATGGCTAATGAGTCTTCCACATCGCTATCGCTCGCAGTCGGGGGGTCCCCCTTCCAACACCTGAGCTGCGTTCAATAAGGGGTGTCCCCCCCCTCGTCACACCTCCGATCCACTCCTCCGCTCTCTCGACCCTCCCACTCCAGGACCCACCTTGTTAGGCAAGTCACTAAGGCAAATTTTGCCCCACCCTTCTTACTGCTTATGTCGTTGCCTTTTTCCATTTCCACGCCTCCTTCCACACAGAGCCGCGGGTGATCATTGCCCACATAACCGACAGTCCGGCGTTCCCCAGCTATGCCAAAACTTGGGTACGAAATTCGGCAGCACTACGTCAACAAATGGGGGTAACGAAAACGTCATTTTCACAGAATACTTTTTTCCTTCGATTTTTCCCCTGCGTAGGGGCCCCCCAGTGGCCCACTTCCCAAAACAGGGCCATATTACTAAAACCATTTTTGCCCATCGAAAGACAGAGTCAAATCATCCCCCCCTTTGAATGGCACTTTTCTAATCTTAACCCATGTGTAATGGCGAGAAACGTCGTAAAGTCGCGGGGGCACAGCGGATTAACTGTCAAATAACCCCCTGGTACTTGTCTACCCCACCGCTCATACACCTTCCCAAATTAAACTTGACAAAGATCCTCGCTTTGCCTTTCAGCGCTACCCCATAAAATCCCTCGTCAGCAATACCATATTTTCTCGAAAGATTCCCGGTAGTAGGGGTTCCATAGAAGTTCCGCACAGCCCCACGGATAAGCTCAACAAGGACGTTTTTATGCGTTCCCCCCCGGCTAGCTTGCGCCATGCTTGAAAAATAACTCCACTAATCAAGCCAGGGGCACACAGCGCATTCCTCACTCCCAAAAGGGTTGAGTGACAAAAATGTCAGGGAAATAGAAAATATCGAAGTTAAGCTTAAGGAATCATACAGGAGCCAAGAAACAGAAAAAACTTTAAGCCATAAATAAAAGTGAAAAAAAAATTATTTTCTTATGCCAAATCTACGGCAATAACCAAATCCAGGATTGGACCCCTACTTAAACGAGGTGACAGCAAAGAAATGGGTGAGCCTTGTGTTCCACTACCACAGTCAGTGTTAGACTGAGCCTGGTGTTCCACCACCACAGTTTAGTTAGACTGTAGACTGAGCCTGGTGTTAAACCACCACCACCATAGTTTAGTGTCAGACTGAGCCTGGTGTTAAACCACCACCACCATAGTTTAGTGTCAGACTGAGACTGGTGTTCCACCACCACCACTACCATAGTTTAATGTCAAACTGAGACTGGTGTTCCACCACTACCATAGTTTAATGATCGTCCTTGCCGACCACTGTTTGGCTCAATATATGATGCTCTCTCACACAATAAAAAGGTTAATTAACGTTTCAGTCATTTTTCTAGAAAGGGCTTGAGAATCCCGCTAAGTGACCTACATATTCCTGCATTCGCATCTTATTATTTGAGTATTGACTCAGTCACTTTCAGTCTAACCTTGAACATTGCAAGAAGATAACGAAAACTTCCTTCCTTAACTAAGAAGTAGAAAATAAAGCATCGGACCTAGTCTTAGACCACACTGACAGGTAACTTATGCGCCAAGGACCTACAAAGAATATCAATTTGTAAATCTTAGAAGCATATGGTTACCTGCTTACTGTGATATTTCGTCACTGAGCTGGCTGCTGACACGGTCAGTCCATTCGCTGAAAAGTTGTGACGTAATAAATTTTTAACCAGCCACAAGAGTTGGGTGAAGACGTCACATTGACGTAATGACTTTCCAACCAATCACAAGTGGTGGTTGAATGGCGTCACAGAGGAAGAAGCGGTATAAGTACTCCCACCAGTGGTGTCCGGACCAGTCGAGTTGACGGTGTTGTTGTGGTTGTATTTTCAGAGTGTCTTCTTGAAACAGTTTTTGAAGTTAAGAAGCCTTTAAATTAAGTTCGGCAGAAAGTCCATCTGGAATAACTCCGCTGGCATAATGATGAAAATATTGTAAGTGAAGAATTATGCTTAATTTGCCTGAGGGTAGCACCTGCAAGTTTTTATATTGTGTCCATTCAGAGCTTCCTGAGTGTGCTTGTTTTAGTGTTTGTTTTAATGGTTGTTTCAGTATATATTAACTAGCAGTGTATGTGTGGTAAATTATCGTTTCTATTCCTCCATTTAACGTTCAACTGAAAGCTTACACTTGGTTGTTTTTCTGAAGTATTCTCATGGTTGGGCTTGTCAGGGTAAATTCATAATTCTTGTCACATTTTTATAATCGTGGACCTATTTATTAATGTTTAATTGTTAATTTAAGACTGCAGAAAATTAACTGCCCCACACCTCAAACGCTAAATAAATTTTGCCTCCATATGAAAAGTTTATGCTTGTAACGACTTCTAATAAACATTTCTTTTAACACTGACTCAATATTTTATTTGCGACTGCTGTTATATATTTACAGGGCTGTGCTGACAATGTTCGGTGAAAATAATTTTTTCTAGTATTAACAGTATCCCAGTACAAACTGTAGTAGTTTACTATGGTTGAAAAAAAATGGTCTCCGCATGATAAAAGAACATCGAGGAACACTGTAACTCGTACTAAGCAAATCTTTCTCAAACCCAAACCCACTTACATATTTTCTTAGTTGTGGTGTATCATTATTGATCAGATCTGCTTTAATATCGCCTCTTTAGCTTCCTAAAGTCGGTGATAAAATATTAAATAACTGAGCCACCTTCCGTAGCAGTCATTTTGCTCTTGTATGATTTTTCTCACTTCAGTAAAGTTAGCCATTTAGTTTTAGGAGTAAGTTGTACTTCTCCCCAAGTTCTTTACACATGCTATGTGTGATAATCTGTAACTGTATTTGTGTATACCTGAATAAACTTGTCTGTAAACTACATTGTCTGCAAGTGTCTCGCTGCTGCAGTTTGTTTATAGTTCCTCAAATTTTCACAACTAAAGTACACCATAGCAACGCTGGTGTGGGATTAATCGGTAGAATCCTGAGTTTGTGGTTAGTGGGGCTCATGTTAGGTTCCCTGTGGTATAGAAGTACACCTAGCAGAATAAATCTGAAGAGCCAGCTGGCCTAGTAGTTAACGCACTGGCCTGAGAGTTCCAACTCTTGCCATGGGTTAAAATTCCCCATGTTCAGTGATAAATTAGTCTGTCCGTTCTGGGCCTCTATAAGGCTTATTTTCATCTGAATATAGCTTTCAGATATAGGTACAAAAACCTTTATCTACTTTGTGTAGGTCTCTTAAAAGAACAGGACTTTCACTTTCATTTTCATTTTTTATTCATAACCTTACGTGCAGTCGCCATATCAAAATTACACTTCAGATCTGTCAGCCTTTTATACATTGTTTCTATTACCCATGTGTTAATCTGTAAATACACTGAAATGGTGTTATTCCTCTTCTAGCCAAGTAGTACATGGTCCAGTGTTACAGGTTGGTGTGTGCCGTGGTGTTAGGGGTCGCCCATGCTCACACTCTGCACCTGGGTAGGACCTGCCCCAACGTCTTGCCCTTCCCCAATCTCTCCGTCGACAAGGTATGTACTACAGAAAAAAATATTCATTTATCATGCACGCTGTACCTCTAGTTCATAATTTTTAATTCGTTTTATGTTACTACGTTAACTTCTCAAATTGTTTACCAGAGTGAGAGAAAAAAATGGAAAAATAAAATTATTATAATCAAGGGGGAAGCGCTAAACCCGGAGGATTATACAGCGCCTGGGGGGGGGATGTGGAAGGCATTCAGGCTTAATTCGGGGAACTGGAGCACAAATCCAATTCCCTAAATCAAGAGCCCCTCACCAACATCAAGGAACCTTCCTTGAGGGGGGAAAAATAAAAATTAAGTTTTGAAGGTCATGCTAGTTACGCGCTCACGCAACAGGTGTCTGGATACCTGTTGCGTGAGCGCGTACTCCAGGTAAACTGCAGATTCTTGCTTACTATGTAAAGTAAATTGAACATGCTTTTACACGTGAGTTTGAATTTTTGTAAGCCACACGCTTTTAACAGATCGAAACGTTGTCCTCAAATCTGTAAAATTTGTATATAATATTCAAATTTAAATGACCGGTGACAGAGAAATTTTTTCTGGATAGAGGCATGGTTGACAAATACAGCAGAGTTTGCATAAATGGGGAGAAATCAGAGTGGGGAAGCGTCACGAGCGGTGTTCCACAGGGGTCAGTGTTGGGCCCCCTGCTGTTCACAATCTACATAAACGACATAGATGAGGGCATAAAGAGCGACATCAGCAAGTTTGTCGATGACGCCAAAATAGGCCGTCGAATTCATTCTGACGAGGAAATTCGACCACTCCA